TCTTTTCCATCTCTCTTTTCCTTCTGGAGGTCCTTGTCCTTCTCTCGGGGACTGGACACCACAGACAGAGGTGTCACTGACTCGCCCAGAGCCAGCAGCAGTTCCACGTCCTGTGGCGTGCTGGGGTCTGGTCTGCTGCGCTATCGCATGCACAAGGAGCTGCCAGCAACACAAAAGTGATTTCTGAAGCATGATGTCAGTGCTGTGGCTCTCTTTGGCCTGCAAGAGAGTTTTGGTCAGCATATCTCTGCTCTGTGCCACAAGGCCATGGCCAGGTTGTGTGCCTTTTCACAGGGAGTGAATGCAGACTAACCTGCGGCTCTCACCCACTGCAGCCAAGAGCAACCTCAGCCTCAAATACAACGTGTTTTCTTGACTGAAATGTGCCTGGTGATTATAGCAAGTAACTCACGTTCCAGGATGATTCAGTGAAGGCTTGGGCATGGAGACCTTAGGCTTATGCCTGTCTGATGAATGCTTCTGGCTTGTCACATTAGCAATCCCTGTGTTAATGAGTGCCCTGTAACGTGATGTGGTTGACTGACAAATCCTGCAGTTATGTGTGCATATGAGTAAGTGCCAGAGTTCTCCAAGGTGCAGTTTTACAATGTCTTGTATCAGCCTCTGTGTGACGGCATTTCAGAAAACGTCCTGGGGAGGCAGGCAGCTGTGGGCCTGGGAATTCACCTTTCCTCATAAGGTCACAATGGGGAGAACAAGCTTTCCTTCTCTTGCCTCTTGTCCGAGAGTATCCGTAAACTCCTCCAAAAGGCGCGTGGTGATGTGCTGGGTGTGCTGGTGTGGTTGTCCAGCACGGGTGTGGAACGTGCTGTCCAAAAGATGTGCATACTGGAGGTACTGGAGTCCTTGGAGCCTTCTTGCTCAGAGGTGCTTCTCTACCGTGCTTCCCTAGAATAAGCAGCCCCCAAGCAGGCAGTGAATCTCAGCAGAATCTCTGAGTAAATCTCAGAATAATAATAATAATACAGGCTATAAAGTCTTGCACCTTTCCAATGAAATTTTAATTATGGTACTACAGTCGGGAGAGGAAATCAAGCTGCAGCATACCATTGCATTTACAATGTTATCCACCGTCTTTGTCCATTCCCTCTGCATCCTCCTGTTCCTGTCACACTCCCTGCTGACGTGGCCCTGCCCTGTCAAGCAGCTCCTGTGCTGTGGCACACCGAGCTCTGCAGTTCCTCCCTGGCTCGGGGGTCTCGAGGGGTGCTGCAGTGGGCACACGGCGTGAAGGTGCCACGGGGCCGTGCCCGCGTGTGCCAGCTCCCCTTGCACCCGGCAAGTGCCCAGCACCGATGAGATTCTTGTGCACGGTGAACCAAAACAGCGCTAAGGTGGGTCTGGACAGCAGTATGGAGCAGTGGGGTGCTGTGGGGTGCAGCCCTGGGTCAGACCCCTGGCTGTGTCCATGCAGCCATTTCCCTTCAGCAGCTGCTGAGCAGTGGAGAGTGAGGTCAGAGGGGACACCGTGGGTCAGACTGAGAGTGGAGAGTAGTGGCGGTTCTCTCACTGCTGCCCAGCATGCATATTGCTGCCTGGCTCGGGATTTCTTGTGTCCTGATGCTGCCTACTTCCAATTTCAGGTGCTGGAGTTGAGGGAACTTGCCCCCTGTGAGTTTCCTCCCTGTGTCTGCCAGTGGCTCAGCCAGTGCCAAGGCTTCCTCCTGGACTCTACCAAGACACAAAACTCTTCCAGTGAGCTGTTGTTTCCCTTAGGTGTGTACCAGATGATGAGTCCAGAATAGAGCCCGTCCTTTCAGAGATGTGCTCCCTTCCCCCATAGCCCTTGCGTTCATCCTCTTCTTTAGACGCCACCAATCCCCCCATTCACACCGACCTTTGTGGTCATAAGTCACTGAACATTCCTACCCCCTTCCAAAGTCAAGACAGGGTGAGCCTGGGCCAACTGCCCGTGGGCACACACCTCCTTAGCGCTGCTGGCATGACCACCTCCGTGGCCCTCACTGCCTCCCCCCCCTGACCCGGGACACCCAGCTTTCACATGCTCTGGCTCTGCTAAAAAAGGGTCTCCTGAAAGCCTCAGATGGGATCTTGCGTTTGGGGAGGCAGGTCAGGGAGGAGCAATCCTTCTGCCTGAAGGCTGCAGGAGCTCCCCCAAGGACAGGGGTGACCAGCAGGGGCAGTGACGCCCCGGGCACGAAGGAGCAGTACCCGGGGCAGGTGAGTCACCAGGTATAACAGCGTTCCGAGGGAGGTAGGGCGCGTCCCAGGGCAGGAGCATCCCCCGCGGTGGGAGCATCCCCGGGCAGGAGTGTTCCCGGGGCAGGTCTCCGAGCAGGACCGTGTTGGTGTTGGTGTCGGTGGCCGGGGCCGCGCCGCGCTCCGCCCGCCCGCGCGGTGCCGGTCGGTGCCGTATGGGAGGAGCCACCGGGCACCGCCGCCCCTGCGCCCCCCCCCCCCCCCCC